GCAAAAATTCCAGTGTTGACAATGTTCTGGGCACGTCAAAATGTCGCCAACGACTTGGCTACTCAACACAAGCATAAATAAATATATATATATATATATATATATATATAAATATATGGCTTACTCTATCTGTGTGCTGTGTGCAGTTGGCGCTAAAGTTGAAAGGCGTGACTGCTGCATTGTCATCGCTTGGCAAATGCAAATGCCAAAAAGTTGTCGTTCGACAACAGCAACAAGAAAACTTGGCTAAATTAAGTTACAGCAACAATAACGAACCGTGAAATAACGCTAGTCAGATGTGATCGACTAGCACATATCCTGTGTATGCTGTAGCCTTGATTTGTTTAGTTTTCTTGCCCAATTCTATATTCATTCCCTCCTCAGACACATCTAAGTAGTTGGTTATCGTAAAGGAAGTTTACAATTCACAAAATAATTGATTAGCAAATTAAATTTTAATTTTTTATAACTTTTAGCCCAATCAAAGTGTAAAAGTAAAAACCAAGAAAAAATCTTTTACAATCTTTATATGGCTTCAGATCAAAGACTTTCTCTGTATGAATATTTACTTGACTCAGCGCTGATCAAGCTCTTTTCCAACCTTCAGGCTCTGCAGGGTATTTTAACAGCTGCTGCCTAGAACAGTGACAATGACAACTAAAAAACAATTTAAAAAACAATTTTGTTTTTGGCCAAGGCTTATCTCTGGGGAGGTGCTTCCGCATTTGCAACGCATTCTCATTCTCATTCTCATTCTTATTCCCATTCTCAGCAGCGGTCACCAAAGTTCACGCTGCAAGAGCAACGCACAAATGTTTGAAGTGTGGCCGTAGCGACGCCCCAAAGGCAAAAACCTACTACCCCGGCCAACACTTGCCGCCCCACCGCCCCTCCTCTCTGGGCCCCTGGCTAAAGATAGATGCAGGCGCAAGCTGCAGACACACATGCATAATGCATGCAACAACTTTGGTGCCGCATGTTGTGCCCTGTGTGCGCCGCTAGTTTATGGCCGTTGCATCCATGAGATACACGTACTTTGAGGGCTTCTGTCGCGTCGTCGCTTTTTATTGCGCACTACAACTAATGTGCATAACAAAATATAATACTTCCCCCATGCCTTTGTTGTTATGTTGTCATGAATCTCTTTTTTAACAACTATTTTTAAGCGCAATGCGCTTAAAGCTAATTAAATTTTCTACCACAATCTGCCTCATCGATTGCACTTTTCCTTACGAGCTGCGACGACGCGGCGAAAGTTAGTTCTTTGCTGGCTTTTGCTTTGGCTAATGTCGCCATACGTTGGGCTTAATTATGATATGAAATGCTGATTGCAGCCGTGTGCCAGCTGCGACCACAAAAGAAAAAAGGGACAGAATAAACGTTAAGAACAAATGCTTTAAAAACTCATTAATGCAAATTTGTGGCACACTCGCCGGCTTTGCTACCTTAGCTATGTGACTTGCAAATTTAGAGCCCTGAAGTTTCGCGACTATATATATATATATATATATATATATATATATATGTATATATGTATAAATATGCCTATTTCATTCATGACACATTCGAAAATAACTTTAAAGATTCAAAGTGCTTTATCTAGATCTTATCAAAATCTTTTCTCAAGTTTTATCTATGCCTGAATAGATTTGTGCTCCGCTTCTAATATTCCTTTCACGATTTCTTTTACCGGCTGCTTTGTTCTTCTAGTTGCAGATCTTTAAGCTCATTTACGACTTCTAACTTGGGCACGTCTAAAATTTGCATTTAAGTCTATTGAAGGTCACAGCTTTAAATCTTTTTGCTTGCATCAGCTGAAAATTGCACTTTGCATTCGAATTAAATAATATAAAATAATATTACGAAATTGGCATTTGATTTTAATTGATTAAAAGCTAATCTATATACAGCTCAAATGTTTTTTTTATAACTATATAATATTTTGTATAATAGCTTAATAATATATGCATTTTATAGCTTCAATTATTTATTGCATAATTTTTTAGCTAATTAAGTTTTAATCTAAACTTAGCGAATATTTATTATTAATAGTTTGTTAGTAAAATTTATTATAAAAGGAATTAGAAAATGTATAAAAAAGTGATTTAGTTATTTTGTGATCTCTTAAATAGTTATTCTCACTAATTACTCACTAAGCCAGAGCCCGCGTTGTGCAACACCATTTTGTATCTTGTATCTTCTGGGGCATTTGCATTTGCATTTGCTCGTCATCAGTTGCTCAAGGTCAGGCAATATATGTTAATGCTAATTAAGTAAAATTGTAAACAAAACCAGTTGCCAGTGTTTTGTTAATTACAAAATGATGCATGGCGATGTCTCAGTGACATTGAAGTGAGTAGTTTATGAGTAGCTGCTGAGTACCTCATGAGTGGTTGATGAGTAGCTGAGATGTGTGTGCTTGGCCGCATCTCTGCGCTTGCCAAAATGATGTAAGCTGCAGTTGCGCATACGCCGTGTGGTGGCAAAGTTCAACTCGAAGTTGGACTTGGACAGAGCTCTTGTGCCACTTCTTCAGTGTAAGTTCTTCGCCAAGCGAAGCCGCAAAACCTCTGCCACTGTTTGTCTTCCGCAAACAGATTGAAAACTCGGCTACACTGCGAGAAATTCGATTAGCAACGCTTCGCTTGAGTCTTTGATTCTCTGTGGGCAGGCAAGTAATGCGGAAATGGGCATATATCGAGTGCTATATGTAAACATTATATATATTCATATATTTATATAGATATTTGCATATTGTGGGGGCGTGTAAACTGTGCCAGCTGCTGGATTGAAATTGCAGCTGTTTCTGTTTCTGTGGCTGTGGCAATTGCGAAATTTGCTGCACTTGTCGCCTTAGGGCTTCAACTTAATTAATTGCCAATTAACATACTTGTAAGTGTGTGTTTGTGGGTGGCTGTGTGTGTGTGTGTGTGTGTGTGTGTGCGAGTGTTTGTAACAATTGAAATTGTGCTAATGCAAGAAACTGACCTGCGTTAGAGCGCAAATAAGGCTAATCAAACTAACCAAGTTAGCAATACTAGATTTTAGGCCTGTAATATACCCTATAATTTATGCAGCGTAACATTTTGCTTACTGAAAATGGTTGAATGGGTCTTTTCTTACCTATAAATCAGAGATAGTCTGGTTGAGTCTTGACCATCTTTTCGTTAAACTCTCTGTGTTAACTCGTTGAACCCAGCGATTTCTTGAGCTAGTCTAATCTTTTCATATACGTTCTTTAGTGTACTTAATATATATTATATAATTATATATATATTAATATATTTCTGTCACATTTGCATCTTTTATTAATATATATGGCTTCAATATGCCTAAAGTCAAGTTTTTGACCTTTCTTAGCTTTCGCTTGGTGGGTGCTCTTGATCGGTGGTGGCTGCTGCTTGGGTTTGTTTGACTTTGCCTTGGATATGTCAGGATTACAGGCCATGTGACAGGCTGAAATAGTTGACCAGTTGGCCAGTTGGCAGCCATTGCAGCCGGCACAGCTTCAGTTCACAGCTATCAGATGGCTAAAGATGCAGCCGCAGACGGACCGCAGATCTCCCCCCATCTCGAGCAGATCTTGGCTGGCGTCTAACGTATTAGCAGGCCACTTTAGAGTGGGAGTTGGCGCTGGTTGGGTTGGCTTGAGATGAGGGGCAGTAGGAGGGGTGTTTGGGGCCGGCTTTGAGCGGATTTGTTTAAAGCCGCAGCGATGCAGAAAGTTGTGCTGCTTTTCTTTTTATTTATTTATATATATTTTTTTTGCGCGCGCGCTTGCTTGCGAGATATTATGCGGCGATATTAATTGACAAATGAGATTTTTCCTTCCTACTCGACAGCGACAGGGGAACTTTCATTTTGACCACAAGCGTCTTGTTGTCAGCCCGGCTCAAACTCAAACTCAAACTTAAACTTAAACTCAAGCCGCAGCTGAGCTCCACAAATGCAGGCCAAGGCAATATGCATACGTGGCTAGCCAATGTGCTTGGAGCCGGGTCTCCAATGGCTGCCGTTTGGGTTAACGCCAACTGTCTGGCGCTATCAAACGCGCCGCGAACTCTTGTCAAGTTACTTAATGCCACAAATGCGGTTTGCTAGGTTAACATACGCCATCTGCTGCACCACCCAATCCCCACCGCCCAGACCGCATCGTCTTCTTGACGGGCCGCTGAACTGTTAAATGTCAGGCCACGATAGCAGACGAAGCAGATTGATGAATGCTGTCATGGCATAATACGTATCCAGAGGCGAAATGCGAAAGAAGAATGTGAAATGCAAAAGATATCGATAGACAAATTGCCTTTTCATATGTTTACACTGAGATACTCTTTGTCTAGTGTCAGCTAAAAGGTCCATAAGCAAGCTAATAGGTAGTAATTCAATAGTTAATAGTCTCCTTAAACTAATATAGCTCTTACTATCTAGTGTAAACTGGAATAGTATATCATTCAGTTGTCTTAGTGATTAGCTATAAGGAAAGCTCTAAGAGCAATTGGTAAGACTCTTACACAAATCAATTCCGTGCAGCTAAGCAAAGTATTTTATGGGTCTCCGACATTATTTGGCGCCATACTTCACAGGGAAGTCGTAGCTCTCTGAATTCATTTCAACTCCAAGATTCTACGTCAATAGCAGGCAAATTGCGAACCTTTCTATGGACTTGTGGGTGTGCCCCGCTATAGACACACGCCGTCAGTTTCAGTTGCCGTGTGGCGCTGTCAATCACTGTCAATTCTATAAAAACAACAACGGCAACAGGCAGTCAGTCAATCACTCAGTCAGTCAGTCAGTCAGTCAGTCGCTCAGTTAGCCAAGATCGTGGCTTACGTTTTATATATTGGTTTGCCTTGGCTTTTTGAAAGTTGCAGCGCAGAGCTGGCTGTGGCGCGTTGGTGGCCACGTCAAGAACTTGTACATGTTGCATATTAATATTATTTGTGGCAAGTCGTTTGACTAATTTCCTACGTTTGTTTGCTTCTCTACTCCTCCACTTTTAGTACGGACTGCGTCAATTGGATCTCTCACTGCTGTCACAATTGTGGGCGCTAAACGATTCCATACAGGAGTTTCGCACGATGATCGAGGAACAGGAGGGGGAGGAGGACGACGACGATGAAGATGATGAGGAGGAGGAGGATGCGGATGATGATGTTGAACTGGATGAGCAGGGCAATCGCAGGCATTCACCGACGCCCTCATCATACGATTCGGTTAGCTCGGAAGGCGGTGCCGATGCGGATCTTGTCAAGGCGAAGCGTCTGGGCACCAAACCAAAGGTCATAACGACGCAGCCAAAGCAGCTCCAGCCGAAGGGTGAAATGAAGCCTTTGCCACGCATGCGCAGCGCACCGCCGCCACCACCGCCCGTCGCGCTGATGTGCACCGCACGCAAGGCGGCGGCACCGCCACGGCCCACATGATGTTACCTAACCGACTTCCTAGCCGGAGTCAGGATGGTCATGTGCAAGGCGATTGTGAGCGATGTGCCGCCCCCGCCAACGCCGACGAAGACGTCAACGTCGCCGTCCGCTGCATTGGGTAGCATTTGAGATGGAGCCGTAGTTGGAGCAGCACTTGGCAAGGGCATTTGGAAGTCGGCTAACGAATATTGTTGACATGCACCATCCCTAGTTAGTTTACACAAACGATAAACGATAGACGATCAACGATAAACGTTCATCGATAGGGGATAATCATTATGCATATATATATATATATATATCTATATAGCCCTAAGCCGCATAGCCGTTAAGTTTAGCAGTCCTTTGTGTGATCTTCAGTTGTAAGTTTTATTGTAAATTGAGTGTTTATTTTTATTTTTATTTCTATTTTCGTTTTCGTTTACTTCTGATTTTGATTTCGATTCGTTGGCCCAGGCTCCGCGACATAATTTAGGGCTACATCTTTGGGGTTTCTTTAACTGGGGTTCAGCTACAACATATTTAACACCTGCAACTTTATTGTTTTTAAAATAAAAAATATATATATATATATTTTGTCTTACGATTGAAACTAACTTCATGCAGAACCACAATATAACTTCAAATATATTATAAAAACTATGAGCAATACAGTGCTTTAGACTTAAGCTAGGATCTGCACTACTTGTATATGTATATAGCCTCTCACTAAAACGAATCCTGCGCTAAAACTATGTTTGGCTTCTTCTCCTGCTGCTGCAATTTTAAGCAAAAATAAAGAATATCAAAACGAAACTTGAAACGAAACGTTGTCGCATTTATTCAACGTCGGCTATCAGCACGCTTCTCTAGGCAATACTTAGGCCATCCACGCCCAGTTTGAGGCATGGGAAATCAAATTCCAGCAGTTGGGTCTCTGAGAAGCTGCTATAGAAACTGGGGCACATGTTGATGGCCATCAGGCCCGACATCTTCGAGTTCAGCTTCAGGCATACGGCCATGGGCGTTAAGTCCGACAGTACGGGCAGACAGAAAGTGGGCGTGGTCTTGGAGTCCAGCGTAAACTTGGACACTTGATCGTTATCCAGCGTAACAGTCACATCAACGGAGCCTTTGAGTATATTTAGCTTGAATGACATGCAAACTGTAAGCAAACACCAGAAATTAATATTAATCTATTATCTGACTGCGTGACCTAAAACATACGCGTCTTGTTTACGTCCATGACCTTGAAGACTGCGCCCACGCAGCAGTTGCAGGTCATGGTCAGCGAGCACTCGCATTTAGATGGAAAGGCTATGACACCCTGGTCATCACTGTCAGCGGCCTGCACCGAGCTCAAGTTGTTCAGGTTCAGCCAGGTGAGCAGCACGATGGCAAGCAGAGGCCAAAGCCTGTTTAGGCTGGACTTCAAATTTTGCATTGGATAAAGCAGCCACGACGCGAGGCACAAAACTAATGCAAATATTGATCAAATTTTTACTTTTTGTAAGCGCGAAATAAGCCTCGAGTGTTGAAGCTAATAGAAAGTCATTTAAGTTTTTGGTAATTAAGTATAATTAATAAAACGGCTCATTTAATTCCCCTAGGCGGGCACAGGTTCAAGGGTAATCAAGCGAATTTTTTAAAGATTTAACGAAAGCCCAAGAGTAGGCAACGATAAGTGAGGCAAAATTTGGTTTCTGTTGGCTATCTGCACGAAAGTATGCCACGATCTGCGCGATTTCATCGAACTCTTCCAGAGAGTATTGCATACTTTTTATAAAAACTTTGATTTGTATCGTTACCTTTGTGACCTCACAAAAGCAAGAATTTGACATCGTATCGCTAGATATCTAAAACTGTGCCAATAACTTGCTTTGAGCTTGTAGGCATTGGATCGTTAGGCAAGTCAGTATATCACAGCTTATTCAGCAGTGGCAGATCATCAAATAGAAATATTTAAGCACTTCTTCTTCGCCTAGTCCAAACTTCGCAAAATGAATAAATTCCTCACAGCGACATTTTTGAGTAAAGCTTACATCATAAGAGCAATCATTTATTTTCACCGCAAAGTAAAAATTATGAATTAATTATAATCTGGACATTCCTGCAATTATAATTTATTGATTCATCAATCTAAAATTCTTTCAATTTTAATTCTTCGCCAACTATGGAGAATGATTTATATGGTTGTTCCCCTTTTCCATAATTTTACAGGTGTCAGTAAAAGTTTTTCTATAATCCTATTATAATTAATAACAGAACCAAAAGAACGCCAAGGTGAGCAGCTACGAGTCTCCCATAGAAATAAAAACTGGCCGAAAAGGTAGACTATATTAATTAAATTTGTTTTTTTTTTTTTTCTGTCATATGAAACTGGTTAGTTCAGGCTTAACTCAATAAATTTGCATTGGCCATGAATTAGCCGAAAATCGAGAGTGTATACATATCTACGTAAATATATTTAGATATGAAATCAAAATTGATTTATGCAAATTCAAACAAAATTCCCAACAAGATCAGGAACACAAAGGCTAAGAGTTTGCCACTACTCAGGCTGTCACGCGGGCTGTGCCAAAAAACTGAAGTTTTTCGCATATTATCAATAATTAAACACTCTTGTATTTATCCCATTCAAATGTAAATAAATAATATATTAATATATTTATATATTATGCTAACTTGTCATACACATAGCTATAAAAAGTAAGAGTGTTCTCGTCGAGTGTGTTCGATTGGCAACTACGTTGAACCCTTTGAAGAGCTGCTTCTTTTACACATAGACACACACACATACACATGCATACATAAACCAAGCTCGCTGCTTACTGTAAATGAGCTGAGCTTGGGCTGCGCTTGGGCTGAGCTTATGGGCCTTGCTATGCAAACATTGCAAAAGTTGAATAACTTTTCTTGCAGATGGAATTTCTCAATCAAATTTTCAGAGAGTGTTAATAACATGCGCATGTTTCTAGTCTCGAGTTTTTTGCGAGTTTAGGAAATGAAGAGAGAATTATCAATAATACAAAATCTGTATATACATCAGAGATACTAGGTAAATTTAATTTTCGTCGTTTGTGGTATTTAAGATACGCTTAAATCGAATATCGACTTTTATCGATAACATAGAAATAATATAAATTATCGAAAAATGATATTGGTAAGCAAAAATATTCATGTAAAATAATCTCTAGCTTATGTGGTTTCTAAGGCAGACAGGAAGACTCGGCTTTTTGATAACCAATATATATATTTCGTGGGGTCTGCTACGCCTTTTACTGCCTGTTACACACATCTCCACAAAATCATTACCATTTTCAGTGGGTTCAGGGCATAAAACGATCAAGTATGATAAGCTTATTCACTACACAGAGATACCCTGTATTGAAATAGTTTTAGTTTTGTTGCTGCTTAAGATTCATAAATAGCTTGTCAATTTATAAAATTAGTTCCACTCAAAGAGATGTCAAACCAGTCAAAATGAATATGCAAATACGCAAAATATTAGAAACATTGAACCTGACTAGTTGTTCACGCCTTGCTCTAATGTAGTTTGCTAATCTTTGATGTTGGTTTGTGCAAAAATTCAGTTTTAGTTGCATTTTGGAACTGCGGTGTGCATCAACATGACGGCGGCCAGATTGGTAAATTGAAAACATGCAAACGATATTGTATCTGTATCTGACATCTCTTCTATCAATTTGCAGATACTTTTTTATGCTGTGGTGGCTGTCCTTGCAGCCAGCTGCTCAGCTGGCTTATTGGACCAACTTATTCCCTCCATAACGTCCAAGTATTACTCCCACATGCCGACCAAGGATGGTTATCGCTTTGAGTAGGTATCTATTATATACCAAGCGACTTTATATTTAACTGATTTGTTTTGCTCTTAAAGACTGAAGGAGCCAAATGGCAGCACACGCGAGGAGGTGGGAATTATTATGAATCCAGGCACGCCCGACGAGCAGTTGGTTGTGATGGGCATCTACTCCTCGTACGATGAGAACACTGATACCGAAAGTATTACCATGTACACTGCCGATAAGGGTGGATACAATACGCAGTATAAATTTAAGAAGCGCAAGCTAAACTCCGCTGCTCTAAAGTCACTCGCCCAAGGCTAAGAATTGTGTTCAGTATGTGAAATGACTTTTTCAAATGTGATGGATTCGATTAAATTAGTTGCAATTATGTTTAAGACTTGAAAAAATCAGCTTTCATTGGCTATTATTTATTGTAAGCACGAACCGAAGCCATTTATTTTATTTAAATACTTTTGCGTAAAATAAATTATTTTGAGCTTCAAACATTTAACATATAAGATACATTTCGACTCTCAGCCCTGGCCTACATTGTGGCACATTTCGTCATGCGAACATTAATATTGACTTCATAGCGAATTCTGATGCAGATACTTTGTAGAGTTGATTATAAATAACATTTGCATAAACAAAATTTGTGATATTTCAAACTTGAAATTTTTATTTATTTTGTTATGAGCATCTCTTGACATTTACACGTGTGAAAAGCATTCGTTGCGCTCCCCTGCACAAAGATGACATTTTGGATCATTTTTTAAGTGTTTGTTTTATCACCCACGCAAACAGCATGCCCGAAATTTGGCTGACCCTGGATCATAAATCGAACCGGTTAATTATGTGGATGCTAGAGTCTTCTAGTCCAAACCTATATAAAACAAAGCGTAGCACCTTTTGGTTGGGGATTTGCATAGATAAAATTCTGTATCATAAGTTAGCGACCGGTTTGACTTAATAGTAGCTACAGCGAAGATATTACGTATACGGCGCATCATACAGTAGACGGCGCCGACGCCTCGCTGAAGTATTCTTTGCAGATCTCTGTTGGTCGATCGCCGCACAATATCATCTCAGTCTCGTTTGGGAACTTCACCGCGCATCAACATGACAGCTGCGAAGTTGGTGAGTATTCGTTAGCTACAAAGGCCGTCGGCCAAGGCAAAGGTGGAGCTTAGAGGCTCTTGCTGCTATTCGAATGGCATTCAAAGTATTCGCATTCCATTTGAATGGTTGTAATTAAATGCTAAGCGCTTGCAGCTGCTGTTTGGCCGGGCAAGCGATTAGCTATAATTGCTTCATCAGCTGCAATTCAATATGTATTTCACCTGTTCAAATCTATCTTGTAGATATTTGTTACCGCCCTGGTGGCGGTTATGGCATCCAGCTGCTCAGCTGGTTTCCTGGACTATGTGTTCCCCACTATCATTACGGAATTCTACAACCAAGCGCCCACCAAGGAGGGCTATCGTTTTGAGTAAGTCCAACGTTTCTCAACCAAGCCAATCGATATGCAACTAATTGGTTATCCATTCTTAGATTGAAGGATCCCAATGGCAGCTCCCGGGAGGAAATTGGTGTCATCATGAATCCAGGCACACCTGACGAACAGCTCGTTGTTATGGGTACCTACTCGACGTACGATGAGAAAACCGATACGGATTCCATCACCATGTACACTGCTGATAAGGATGGTTACAAGACACGTTATCAGATCAAGAATCGTAAGCTCTCCCCTGGAGCTCTGAAGTCTGCTGCTGGATAAGAGCCTGTGTTTTTTTCTTTAGACTATGTATTAAGGCAGGTGATAATAACAGAGTAAAAAATATATATTTATTATTGCCTATAATTTGAATTCAAACGTTTTCAAACTGGTTTCCATTCTTGGCAGCAAATTGTGGTTGGTCTTTGGTCAAGATCATGTTAAGATCTTTCATTATCAGGATAGACAAGTTTGTACACATATTATTACGTAACTGGACTGACATTTAAGTTTCTGGTAGCTTACAAGCTTGGATGTTAAATTAACACATTCGCGTCTTACGAACTTGACCATGAATTTGAATAGAATTTGTAGATTCACTAGACAACAGATCTGTGCATAATTTGAATTTGAATTTACAGGTTTGGGCTTTATTAATTATTAGTCACGTTAATTATGCCTCTTGCCAGATGACAGATTAGCTTAACTCACGAGTCGAAGTGTGGCTAATGCAATTTTAAGTATGACGCTTGTCGCTTGAAGCTTGTTCAAAACAAATGTCATTAAAAGGCTAAAAGGCAGATATTTTTAATCTTCAAATCATGGGCATAGACTTGAATGGTACAAGAACATTGAGTTGTTCACAAGCCAAGACATTGTTGTAGACCTCGACTCAAAGTGCTACGCAATTATTCGTTGTAGAACTCAAGATAATTTAGTATTAATAATTTCTAATTAGTACTTAGCAGCTTCCTTATTTCTAGGGTGAATGCTTTAAAATAAGCTAGTGATTGATTGCCTTTAAAATGTTGTAGAACACAATAAATTCTTAAATAATTGAGCTTAGCTTTATTAGTGGAGCATCAATTTGATTACCCCAAACAAAAAACAAAAACATTTAAACATCTCCTAAGAGGCATTTCGCCTTGCAGCATTTTATATAATGATGTTAAATTAATGCCCCCAAAATAGTTTAATTACATATTATGAATCGCCAAGCTGGTGCGTAGCTGAAGGTCATGCCACTTCGGGGATTTTCTTAGCACAGTCCAAATCCGGAATTCTCCTCTGTAAATCATCAGGTCGCTGTTCAAGCTGCTTGCTGTGTTATATAGCAGGCAGCAATTGAGTGTGAGCAGCAGCAGCTTTCTGTAACAGCTCTGGAATGTTAACAGCAAAGCTTACATTACACTTGTTGCAAGACGTTAACTTGTCATAAATGGAATTTGGTTTGAACTAAAGCTAGCACATCATTGAGGCGATAACAATGCAAAAGCTAGCGGCATTTTGTGTTCAACATGGTTTGAACAAAACGCTCGAAATTAAAAGCTTTAAATTGTTTATTAGCTGCGGGGCGGCTTTGGCGCGCAATTGGCCCGTTTGATTGTTGCCACAGGTAACTGACCAGACACAAAGCGGCCCAAACAGAGAGCGGCGCGACGCAACCTGTGAGTAACCAAACAAACCAACGTCAATGGTGCAAGCCGCGTGTGTTTCCGATGCACTGTAACAAAATATATATAAAATATATAAAAATTAAAATTATATGAATGATTAAAAAATATGTAAATATGTAAAAAATAAAATATTTAAAAAATTAAACTAAAAAAATATACATAAAAAAGTTAAAATATATAAAAATATTAAAAAATACAAAATTAAGTAAAAAAGAATAAATAAAATATATTACCAAAAATAAAATAAAATAAAATAAAAATATATTACCAAAAAAAGATATCCGGAGAAAATAAATAAATATATTTCTTATTTCTGAATTTAGTAAATTTTTGGAAAAGTCTGCAATCAATCCACTTATTAAAAAAATAAAAAAAACTTTAAGTTGTTCTTTATAAGCTAACTATTCCCCTATTAAAATACACACACCATATTTTATTAAATATGCAAAGAATTAATAAAACTCTGAGGCTCTGTTTACTAGCAAAATATTTAATATCTTAAAAATAACAATAACAATTCAATGGGGAAATTATTTTTCATTTCATTTTATATTCTTACCAACCATTCTGATCGCCTATCTCTTTTTCGTCAGGTGTACATACCGTATATATTAATGGTACCCCCACAACTGAAACAACAAAACAAACAACCACCAGGGCAGAGCTAGAGCGCGCCCCTAAGTTTGGATTAGAACGTAATGCTCAGTTCCCGGACAACTTTCAGCGATGCGAGAACGTGACGCGTAAACAGAATTTCATTTTATAACAAACTTTCATACCATAACAGATATACAAGCAGGAATTTAACAATATATGTGAAATAAATAAAATAATTCCAAAATGTTTACCAACTGCCTAAATGTTAAAAGTGTTTAAGCTGCTCTAAAAAATATATATAATATATATAATAGATAAACAAAGAGTGAAATGAAAGCAAAACTTGCACGTACTGTGTCAGTTTTATTGTTTTTGTCAGTTTTACACAAGTGCAAGGGGCGCGGGGGCGTGGCAGTCGCTGGACAGTCGCTGATACAATTGAGTCACGGTAAGTTGAGCAACAAGCCAGGTGAAATTATACGCATTGTTCAGAGATGCCCGAGAGTTATCTACGGGTGTAAATAGTTTTCGGCTTTGGTCACTGCTCGAGTTGACCCTTCAACTGTGGCCCGGCGGGTAATTTGACCTTTGACTTCATGCGTCAGTGCCCGACAAAAATTGCCCAACCGAAATCTGGTAAAGTCTGACGAAATGTAGGACAATCAATATAATTTATGAGTAATTGCATAAAAGGCAAAAAAACAATTGCTGCCAAATCCCAAGCACTTGCACATACATAAAAAAACACGAGGCAAAAACACCAACAAAACTAATGAAACAGGTGCACAAATATGCGTTAAAGTTAATTGCGCCAGCCAACACGCACACAAATTGGTCAACTGTGCCACAAATATTTTTGGTGGCACCCGAGTGCTAATCGATAAATTTATTACAATTGTCTAACTGCGCTTTGTTGTGGTTAGTGCTCAGTCATCATCATTGAGGCCAGGCCAGGCCATCATAATTATGACTGAACTACTTTAAAGCAGAGCCATCGCAGGATGAAGGGGCGCACTTAGCATAATGTATCAGCAGCTGTTGCTGTGGCTGTTGCCGCTGCAGTCGCCGACAATTGATCAAACAAACTTGCAAATGCGCTATTAAAATAAGATACATAAACATAATGACAGCGAGCGAAACTGCCAGCACAACAAGCCCCGCTGCAACTAGCCCACGTTGGGTAGGTAACCAAATTTCATGATTTGTCGATAAATTGAACGACAAACTTGAATTCACTTTGAGTGCTGCAATGCTTAGATACTCTGGCAGTTGTCTTGAAGATATTGTAGCATTTGTTCTAATGTTTTCTTAAAATATAATATTTCTTCAATTCAATCAATTGACTTTCATTTTAATGAACTGAATGCATTTATGGCTTTGCTATCTGCTGTCCGCCCCTTAATCATATTACTCGTTATCTTTTCTTAATATTTTCTTTTCTTTTATTATTATTTCTCATATCATAAATCATATGTAGTCAGTCAATTGAAAGGAATAATTGACCCACTTAAGCTAGTCCCCCACTTAATCATATTACAAGCTGTCTTTCTAGCCTTATACTATACCACAAGACAGCGAAGTCTTAAGCAAATATATATAAAATATAAAATCCTTTCCTTGTACTAAAACTTCTATTCAATACAAATTTGTTGCTAGTTGGGAAATTTATGTAATATAAAGAATTTCCAGCAAAGTTCCCTTGTACGATTAAAAAATAGTTTATAAAGTTTTTTGCACCCTAGTTAATTGCTATAGTAACTAAAAGTTCAAGAAACTGTTTAATAAAAGCCGCCGATTCGCGAATAAACAACTTCAAGAAATAACAGGGGAAAAGTCGGAAAAGGCGAAAATAAAAGAAAACAATTTAAAAGTTGGCGCAGCGATTCAATTAATTGGACACGCTACTTTCAGACGATGATCTAGATGATAACTATCCGGAAATTAAGGATGAGGTGCACTTGGAGGATTTCTTCTGGACTGGCTCTGGTGACGGCCCGCCCGACTACCTGAAGAAGGTGCACACGGGCATTAGCAAGGGCAAAGATGTGATAGTCAAGACGGAGACTGTGGTGGCTACCGTCTACGTAGATGGCAACAATGTAAGTGGTGTCAGGGGTCGAACTGCAGCTATTGTAACTCAATTTGTTTTAAAGGAAATCGAGATACCCATTTGCCTGGACTGCAAGCCCGATGACGGAGGCGGCAATTGGGATTTGGGCGCACCTGGCGTACCTCCATTCAATTACAGCTCCACGGATCGCCGTTACTGGCTGCTGACTGTGATGTCGGGCTTCTATACGGCCAAGGATAATCCCATGCTCGAAGAGAAGCTTGCTCGTCTATATCGCTTGGCTTTCACCAGGTGAGTCAGCTACTGGCTACAGCTAGAGCTGCTCTAACTTTCAATTGAGTCCACACAGACAGCAAACACGCCACCTGGGCATAAATGGAGCACAGCAAATTGCGGGCGTTTCCATAGATGCGACACGTGAGCGTCGTCAGCCGGGGCTAGACATGAGCACCTCCACCACTGCCACCACCAATTGGCCGGGCGATGATGTGGAAATACTCGATATGGAGGTGGATACGACTCATCAAATCAAAACCATGTGGGCGGCGGGCGAAGAGCCTGAGTGGGCAGTCGCCGACTCCTCAGAGTCAGGCGAGCCACTGAGCAGCTCCACCATGCCCACGACAGCAACGGAGTCCATTGACTATAGCGCATATGTAACGCTTATCCCCTGGGAGCTAATACAGCAGAATGGCAAGTCGGAGAAGTTGCAGGAAATGCGCGAGGCGTTGTTAAGTCAACAACAACAACAACAACAACAGGAGCCACAACAACAACAGGCGCAACCATTATACAGGGAGGAGCGCGTGCGGGTTGTCATACACAACATCACGCAAATCAGTGAGTCGGAGCTGCTAAAGTGGAACAGCTCGGCTGACGATGTCGCTGGTTCCGATGCGTATGTTAACCTCAAATTGTAGGACTAATATAGACTAGACGAGCTGTACCTGATTATACTCATGTCGCCACTTTAATCCTTGCAGTAATGAGCGACCCGTTGCCAATCAAACGGAGCTCATCTATACGGTCCTTGTGAACGGACGCCCCGTTTTGGCCACAACAGCGGCCAAGGACATGGAACTGGTTAGCGAGGTGGAGGCAGTTAACACATTGGGCAAGGCCATCTACATGAAGTCGGAGCGTAAGTTTATGGCTGCTTCATCACATAGCAAGAGAAGATGAAGACCTACTTCATATGCTACTCCATCTGTTATCCGAAACTCTTCCATTTCTCAGCTTATATCAGAGAGCCCACGGCCACAGCCTTGGCACCTGTGCCGCGCAGCGGTCATGCGGGCTTCTTTAACTCTGTGAAGAACAATGTGGCTCTTGTGGTCATCAGCTCGTTGGCCATTCTGCTGCTGATGCTGCTGCTGGTGGCCATTCTGCTGCTGGGACGCACCCGCGCTCGCCAGCGCGAGCTAAGCGAGGTCAACAGGTGAGTGCAGAGCATCGAAATATACAGAGATTCAAGTTAACCCGTTTCCCGTGCTCGCAGAACGACTTCGCGCAATGAGCTCTTGTCGGAGGGTCACTCAATGCGACCCAGCTCGCGTGGCACCTTGCTGGACAGCACTGCGGGCGGGTCAACTGTCAACGCTGACCAGAGCACAGTGCGCTCGCGGGATGTGGGCGTGCAAAACTTTTCGTATGAGCGGGAGCCACGCATTACTTTTCCGGCACCACCAGCCGAAACTCATACAAGGGCCCGACGCGACTCCATCTCCTCCACGGACAATACATCTGACTCCTCGGTTTACTGCCCCATCAATCCGCCCAGTGCTGATGTGCAGCGCATACTGGATGACAAGGCGGCGCGTCTTTTTGATGGCCACAAGCGACGACGGCATCAGTACGATCGTGCGGAGGATGGCCTGGAGGACACTATATACGCCTCGGTGGTGTCGGAGAAGAAGAGTGAGAAGTCGCGGCACAAGTCGAAGCGTCGCTATCTCAACGAGAATCGCGTCGGCTCTCTGGAAACCAGCCCGGTGCAGGGCTCACTGGGTCAAAGTAATTCCTCAACAGAGGAGGGCAACTCTCCGGCCGCTTTACGTCGCAACTACGAGAACTTCCAGCGCAATGAGGCCTACAATCCACACAACAATTACCATCGCAACAAGCTGCTGCAGCAACAGCAAACGATATTTACGGATAAGGAGTATCCAGAGGAGGGCGCTGTTGGCTCCCCGCAAGCCATCAACAGGGAGATGATACGCTCGCGTGGTGCACAGCCCTCGGAGAAGTCCTCGGATACGGCCAGTGTCGGGTCCTTTCTGTCCATGGCCTCGGTGCGCGCCTTTCCAAAGAGCACGCTGCCAGAGCCACTCAATCGCGTGCTGGATCCAGTTTTTGTTACGTACTATGACAATGTGAATGCAGTGGCACCACAAGCCGCAGCGGCGCAGAACTCCACAAGGTCCCTGAAATCGCACAAATCACTAGGGAGCAGGGATAGCACCATTGCGACCATTGCCAGTTTTCCCAGTCCGAAGGCGCCGCCTCCGGTGCGGAATGTTCGTTCCGCCTCGCACAGCGACAATCCTGATCCGGGCTTTGTGGGCCCCGTCGTCTGGGAGCGGCACAAGAAACGTCTCAGCAGCGCTGACAACCAGGGTGAGGCGGGTGGACACAATGATCATGCTCATAATGATGATGATGATGATAATGATGTGCAAATTGGGGCACAGACACGTTACTAACGGGCAACTGTAGTCCTAGTTGTTGTTGATATTGCCTGCACACAGCTGTAATTAGTTTACCCAATTTAGAGACCATAAAACCAAATAACCCACTTGCAATCCAACTGAATCCCCACTGAACTCAACTGAAATCAACTGAACTTCCTCCACACATCTTCCGCAGCGGCCCGGAGCTATGCTGACTTTAGCCCCAGTCCCATGCACGATGCATCCGCCATACGCAACCACTACGAGGGCCTGCTAGAGGGTGCCATGCAGATGTACGCCAGCCAGGATGATCTGCCCATGCCATTGCCCTCGCGCGACTTCACGAACAAGCGACGCATCACAAAGCGCGAGCATCGCGGCTCCTCTGCGGGCTTACCCAGGTATGTGACGTTGCCTTCCAACTGGCAGTTGCTGACCCAGTCCACTCCTTGCAGCTTTCCTCCCAAGGCCTACAGCACTGCCGAGCGGCCAGCCACCGCACAGCCGGAGAAGACACCGAAATCAGCGCAGTCCACGCAGCCGCCGTCGCCCACTTACAGCGCTTGGGGCAGCAGTCTGAATGGTTCCCATTCGCCGCTGGTGCGTCCCTTGAGTGCTGGACCCATCCAGTGTTCTGAAACGATTTTGGAGATTTCACGTGGACCACTTGCCAGCTCCAGTTCCACGGCAAATACGCCGGGGCATAGGGCAAATGCCCAGTCGGCTGCGCCGCTTATCGAGGCCATTCAAAGCGAACTGCGCAAGTTCAAGGAGCAAAAGGATTGAAGGGAACAAAAAAGATGAAAACTAAATTCTATGGAGTTATCTTTATAAAAACGACCATATCTTTAACTGAATAATACAACACGCCGATATACATACTCTTTTTTCAATTTCATTATAATAAAATTTTCACAAAACCTTAAGCAAATTTTTGGAAATATTATATTTATAGTGAAAGAGCCTAAGTGAAAGATGTGAAGACTGGAATAGGTAAAGCCAGTGGAAGGTTTGCTGAGTTAATAAATAATTGATAAATAACAAATGTCCCTTTTAAAAAGTAAATCATCTTAATTTTCATACTGCTTTTCATATATTAATTTATTATTATTATTTTTTTAATTTCGATTTTTAGACACATATTCTATTTACATGTTGAATGCGTTTCGGAGGTCTTTGAAATAAAATTGAAATGAGTTTTACCAATTGTGCAAGCCCTCACCAGCCCGTTTGATCGTGTTATGTTTACTAATTTGTTATATACCCATTATAATATTCCTTGGAGTTTTAATTATGTGTTAATTAATTGCATAAATTATAAATAGTTGGCAAATTAGTGTGTTCAAGTGCGAATTGTTGTTTCCTTCGGAGGCGTTTGGCTTTCATATCGTTTAGTACATTTCCTTTTGTCCCTTAATGGCGGCGGGATAGTCCTTGGCATTGACGCTACGCTTGCCCAGACGTGGTCCGAACCACAAGCCAGATGAGGCACTGGGTCCGGTGCGTTTGTCCAGCGCCTGCTGCAAGGCCAGCAAATGGGCCCACTTTCTCAGCTCCGATTCGCTACGACCCATGCGAGGAAAAGCCACATAGCCAGGCCGCTTTTGGTAATCTGAGAATATTCAGTTAGTGCCGTTAAAAGTGGAAATTAACTGCACGCACCTTCGAAATCTTCGGCGGAGACATCGCCCATGCCGTAGATGTTCTCATAGGCAGCCGCATCGCTGGCATCGTGCAAGCTGTTCACCAGACTCGGATCGCTGCGTCCCACACGTGGGAAGGCATAGAGACCCATGTTGGCACCTCGACGGATCTTATCGTGTTCCACTTCTGGAGAGAAGCAAATAATTAAATCAGCTCTTTAAATCACTATAAATCTTTATAGGTAAGTCTTTGCTATGTGAAGGTTCACTTACTATCGTCATTCTGTCCAAACGTAATAGCTTAAAACAATATTAAAATTGTTATATTTGAATTTAATTTATATATGCAAATTGTGAAAAAGTTACGCTCGCTTCTCAGCTTAGGCTTTAATGGAAACAAATTGAAATGGCCTGAAGGATTGCCGCAGAGGTCTTTACACTTCTGCGCAGAGATTTATTGCGCGCGGATTTACACTTGCAGCCAAGTGGGGGTAAGCCATATTAATAGGTCCCTCATTGACGCGGAATCACTTTTTATGTACTTCATAGACTCACCTGCAGCTGTGAATTTAGTCAGCAAAACAAGCAACAAAATTGTGTAGGCAATGTTAACTAGTCCCAAAAACGACTTCATTTCTCAGTGGATGAAATATTCTACTATATTTTTTGGATTTATTTCTTTGTCAGATGTTTGCTTCTTGACGTGCGCTGAGACAATGCTTGATGCTGGATGGAACTCGTGTCCTTTTATATGCCCAGGCACAGACCAGATAGTCGAGCAGCGCTACACTCAGAGAAGGCAACCCGTGGTGGGACAGCAATTGCTTTTGCTACTATGTGTGTGTGTTTATTGTTGTGTCTGTATGTGTGTCTAGCAACCAACCACCTGTGGGCAATGAAATGTTGCTAAAGTTAAATACTTGATGCCAATGGCTAAAGCAAATGGGTGGAAAGGATTTGCCACGTAAATTGCACTTGAAATCTTTGTAGCGCAGCAAAAGTATTTTATGTTGCGCCACAATGTACCATTATGTAGTGAAATATATGACTTATTCAGTTTGAAAATATATATAAAATAGCTTCATTAATCTGTTAAGTCATAGCTAAAAATATTATCTCTCCTGCATGCCCTAGACTAGGTTACTTAAGCCTGATCTGTAGCTTCGATTTGTGAGTAGAATTAAGTCGGGTAATTATAGTATGCAATGAAACTTTTATAATTGAAGAAGTCGAGTTTCTTTTTGATATAATTATGGCATAAAGTCAAGTAGTCAAGAAGTCGATTTGCCTGTTTGCTAGAAATACTTATGCGTAGTATAAAAGAAACAAAATTGGGAATTAAAGTTTAAATTTCGTTTATTTGTTTGCACACATTTTGAGTACTTAGTTTCAGCTAGAAATATCAACTTAAGTTTTATTGAAAAATGTTCCTGGAGCTTCTCCTACAACCAGCCGGAGATCATGCGGCCAGTGACGGTGGACTTGCCACGTTCGCCACCGGCTGCGGCGCTGCTTTGACCCACTTTAATCGCTGGCTTGAGTGGGGCCGTTGCAGGTTTCTTGTCGTCGGGCTTCTTGTCGTCTGCCTTTTTGTCATCTGGCTTGGCATCGCTTGGCTGAGCCCCAGCTGCTGCAGCGGGCTTCGTCTCGCCCGGCTTGCCATTGGCGTCCTTCTCCTTCTTGTCATCGGCCTTCTGTTCGCTTTTCTTGTCCTCCGGCTTAGCAGCGGGCGTTGCTCCACCACTGGACTCATTGGCTGCCTTGGTACCGCTAGGCGTGGCTGTTGTCGTTGTGGGCTTCTTATCGGTGTCCGGCTTGGCATCTGCAGGCGCCGACGGCGCTGCACTTTTGGCAGCTGCTCCAGCTGCTGCTGGCGGCTTAGCCGCCTCGCTTTTGGCTGCCTCCTCTTTCTTGGCCGCAGCTTCCGGCTTAGCGGCTTCATTTGGCTTGGGGGCCGGCGGCTTAACATCAGCCGGCTTAGCGGGTGGCGCCGGTGCATTCGGCTTCTCCACATCACTGCCAGACTTTGGCTGTTCGTTAGGCTTAGCTCCATTGGCTGCAGTTGGCGGCTTGGTGGCTGGCAGCGCGGGCTTTTGGTCGCCTGGCTTTCCAGCAGCAGTTGGCGCTTGGGGCTTAGCATCGGGCTTACTATCGCCAGGTTTCTTGCCATTCACAGATTTCTTGTCGTCTGTGGTTTTCTTATCCTTGTCATCATTGGGTTTCTTATCATCTTTCTTGTCTCCCTCAGTGCCTTTCTCATCCACGTTCTTCACAGAGGCACGCAGTGCCGCAGCTGCCATCATGGACGAACCACCGCCTGCGCCGGCTGGCATCTTCTTGGACTGAAAAGTTATGTTAAAATATTTTTTGGTCTATGCTAGTCATCAGTTCAGTAATAATTACGCCATTGGCATCTGGTTTCTTCTCAGTGTCACCGTTCGGGGCTTCCTCTCCCTCGCCCACCGAAACCTCATCAGCTGCCATCTTCTTGCGCATGAACTTCACATAGGCAACGCGTGTGGCTCGCGTCACATCGCCCAAGTTGGGATTGAATTCTGTGAGGGTATGAGCAGAGATATGAGTGTAAATAGTGCACGGAGCACTGCACTGCACGCACCTATCAACTGGGTCTGATCCATTTGCAGACCCTCATTCGCTTGCTCAATGATCTTGCGCCTCAAGCTGCGCTGGCTTTGACGCTGCATAGAGGAGCGTTTCGAGCCAATGGGATTCGCAGTAAACGTGTTCTTTCTGGCAATGGCATTCCAGTCCTTGTCACTGGAATTTGTAACAACTCAGTAATATATGCCCCATATCACATTCAATTTGCCTACCCCTTTTGGGTCTTCTTTCTGCCTATGACCTTCGCCAGTGAGGCGAAGATGTCGCGTCCGTTTTCATTCTCGTCCATTTCTTGCTTCAGATTCTCGACGAAGCCAATCTGGAAGTCCTTCATGATGCGACGTTCCATCACCTTGCCCTTGGTGGTGCGGGCAGCAGCTGTCAGTGGGTGAGAGAGTGTGCTTAGTTGGTGGCTTGGGTGGCTTGGCAACACGTTGCGTCAAAATTTCTGCATTACCTTGCGTCTTCTTCTCAATGTCTGGCACATCCCAACTGTTATTGGTGAAAATCTCCAGCAGCTCGAACCGTAGCGAGCTAATGTCCTGGCGCACCTCAATGATATCATCCTCGGTGATGCCGTAATCGTCCCTACGCCTCTGCTCGGCCGTCACATGTCGACGCACCAGCAGCTTCATCACTTTGTCATGCAGCGTCTGGGCTTTCTCCATGGACTTGCGCTACAAGAAGGGGATGTAAGGGCAGAATTACTTAAGTGCGAGCTAAGCGTATTTACATTGACGCAAAGAAAAACGCCACGGGAGCTATATTAAAACTGATTTGCCAAAGGATTTGTCTTGATTGTTGCGCTTCTGGACTAGGGTTAGGTTTTCGGGTGGAGTCACCTACCATGAAGCTCTTGGTGCGGGAGGGTCGCTTGCGTCCAAGCGTCTTGCGTAACATTTTCATGTTGGGGCACAAATTGAAGGGCGGTGGTATGGTGCCGCCGTCTTCAAAGTAGCTCATCCACAACTGCGAGCGGGCGAACTTCCACTCGGTATCAGCACGCTCCGAGATGATTTGATACGAGTTCGACATCATGGCAATCAGCATGTTGAGCAGCACAATTATATTGATAACCGAATACGAGCCGAACATCAGCAGCGCCCAAAAGCGTGTGAAACTCTTGATGCCAGCCAAGTCGAAGGAGACCAGATCGACCAGGCCAAAGGATGCCCAGAACAGCGACTGCGAGGTCTCAAACAGACTACAAGCAAATGGGCTCAGAACTTGAACTGTCGACTTTACATAGATAGACAGACTCACTTGGAAAAACGACGCCAGATGGTGCAGGCCTTCTCCTGGTCATCAAAGTCAGCAACATCGGGATGCAGGTGATAGCATTTGTTCTTCTCCAGCTCCGCATAGTACCACAGCAGCTGATTCAGGCCGCAGCCAAAGGCAAACAGCACCAAGGTGTAGATAAAGAAGAATTTGATGATGTCGATAATCATGCGGCCAAGTGACACCTGCAGCGGTCCCAAGTGCGGATTTATCGAGAATATGTGCACCAGCTTCAAATAGGAGAAGACCATGCCCGCAGCAAAGGCGCCCTCGGAGAGCAACATGGGGTCAAAGGGATGCCAATGCTCGCGAGGAAAGTACGGATCAATGCCTCTAAACCACAAATCACGCTGAAAGCAATTCGAAATTGTAAATCGTTGATGAGCAATTTTTAAAAGGCCAACTTACGTGCACTATGATCCAAGCGGTGGCTCTACAAAGTATCCAAGTGACATAAAACATATTCGATATATAGTCCACAATGTTCCACAGATCCATGATGTACTCAAACAGGCCATCGGAATATAAACTCTTGAGCTCCTCGAATATTAGCGCCGCAATGTACATGATAATAGCCAGTTCTATGGGCCCAGGCAGCGAGCCTCGTTCGTGCTTGCGCCAATCCTCCAACATGGTCAACATCCAGGGAAAAGCCAACAGCTCAAAAGTAATTTGTACCACACGCAACGATGCTGCGCCCAAAAGCACTGAAAACAACAGCTCAGAGAAGCTCGAAAGGTCTAAGATATTTGGAACTCACTTAGGAAAAACATGTAGGAGCAGGAGTGGGTGATGAACTTGACGAATGGCTTGCGCATGAATTTGGCCCCGTCCGAGTCTGGTGCCAGGATATACTTTAAGCTGTAGATGGGAAAGCTGCAGCCCAGCTTGATGACATCCATGAGCTGCTGTGAGGCTTGTTTGCGTCGAAAGCCGGGCAAGCCTTCATACCAGATTGCTGCAAGCAGTTGCTGCACATTTGGATGTGCCACAAACTGCAATCAAATCAATCAATCAGTCAAGCAATCAATCAATAGGTGAGATAAAATATAGTGCCAACCGTCTTTTGTTTGTAGCGTATGGCGAGTTTCAGGCGTTCCAGTGTCTGGCGTTGGCCGGGACACCAAATCTCATGGGATGGTTCGTGATTAAAGTTAAGCATCACCTCCAGCTCCATGGAGGTGCGCGCGTGGTCCAAAAGCGCCGTTACAAAGTCCTGCACCGCTTGACGCATTTCCTGATTAATGACAAAAAAAATATTGTAGTTAAATTATGAACCATCTTCATCAATCTTCAGTATTAATTTACCGTATATTCCGCACGAAATTCCGATTCCATGGCCTGCAAGCGCTTCAATTCCCAGGACAACTGAAAGGCGGTGAGCACAGGATCACGTGAGCTGAGCGCTATCAGCGAGCTGGCCGAGAGTGCTCGATAGGCGTTGATGCGCGACTGCGAGTGACGCAGAGAGTCCGTAGTCTGCGAGGTCACACACTCATCACAGCCGCACCTGCAAAGGCAGCGACACGAAGTCAAATATAAGTTATTCCGTAGGCTGTGACCTTTATGCGCACTCACTTGACATCGTGCGGCATGGGCAGCGTTGCTCCTCGATCCAGTAGGATCTTGAGTATCTCATAATTGTTGCGATGTGCAGCCAGAATCAGCGGCGTTATGTCCGTGGTGAAAGTAGACTTCGAGCGATCCACTGATTCCCAGCTCTATACCCAAAGAAAGACTTAGTCATGGGCAATTAGAGGTAGGTCACACAACTCACATAGGGTTGACCCTCCTTGTGATTACTCTCTTCCCACTGCAGCAGCTCCTCGACCGCCTCCACATACTCCTCGGATATGGCATGCAGCAGAGCATCGCCCACCTCGATGTTGTTCTCCAGCAGCAAGACCATCAGATCGAAGTTCTCATTCTCAATGGCTGATATCAGAGCGGAACGATTCATGGGATCCGTACAGTTGATGTTGAACTTGTCGGAAGGGTTCTCGGTATAATCCTCTAGGATTCTAGAAGGCGCAAAGCTTTGCATTAGCCTGCCAGACTTGCGAAGGTAAATACTAACTTTTTGACACCAGGCAAGTCGCCGCGCTCGCAGGCCAAAATGAAGTTTTTCTCCACATCGCTGAGTATGTACTCCTCGGCCATCATCAGATCGTAATCCAGGCGGGAGCCAGCCGCCTTTTCAGCGTCCGTTTCCATGGTGGCACGGCCTTTATTAACACAATATCAACTGGAACAAGAGCGGCTTTGCTAATACTTCACATTTTCAGTTCACACTACACTGCACGAAATGTCCTGTTTAATCCTTTTCGTAATGTCTGAGTTGTGTGGCTCGATGTGTTGCTCGATGTGTTGTCTTCAATTAGCCGTGTTCAACTGCTCGCAATTGGCCAGTACGACGTGGTATATGTCGCTAATTACATTAGCGTTTGCTCAAAACTCGGTCAATGCGTATGCAAAACAAGTCAATGGGCGCCGCCAGGGCCCTCTGCTAATCGCCAATTGACTTCAGAGCTCTCTGATTGCTATTTGTTCCACAACGGGCTGAAGAGCGACGCACGTGAAAAATGCAAGGAAACAAATGCATAATGCGAGTCAAATTATGTTCGATTTCAGAAGCCCCACAAACCCGCCACACTCGTTTGCTAAAATGTGATATGCCCAGGCACAGCTATATGCACTCTAAGAATCGATGATAAGCCAAAATAATTTAAGGTTTGCCAGAGCATTACAATTTAACTACAAGTCTTATTGTTAAGCTTTTGTTTAGTGTAATCATTGTGAGATTTTATGCTTTGCTTTCCAAATCTTTTTACTAGCCAATTAAGAGTGATCTAAGGGCTTAAGCTCTTAATTAATAATTTAATATGCCATAAATTTATATGGTCAAAAAGGGGCTACAAAGCTAAGCTAGCATTGGACAACTCGTATTTGAACAGCTTAAAAAAGCTTTGGCATTAATTTAGTAACTTTGCTATACTTGTTATACAGAGTTGCTTTTGTAACTTTCATGTATAACAGTTGACACAGCAAAAGCTTTAACCAAAGCTTTTATTACGATTTAAAGCATATTTATATGCACACAACTTGAAAGCTTCAAAATTTGCTCTTTAAAGAGAGTCGCCAAAGAGAGAAATAAACAGAGCAGCAATCAAACTAAAGCTCTTAGTGAAGGCAGCAACAAGTAGCAATGGTGAAGAGCAGAACGTCAAGACTAAATATATTAAAATAATATGAAATATATATATGCCTATGAAAGGTTCAATGAGAAATTTGATTGATGTTGTATTGGTTTGTTAATAAGCAAAAGCAACAACTGTCGAATATTGGTTGCAGGTATCACTACGCGACTGAATTTCGTGTTGCACGTTGCACGTTGCAGGTTGCCTACTTTTATGCGTTCGCTGTGCGTGTTTCTATGTCAATGCACTTAGAAATTAATGCGCTGCCAGTGCGAGTGCGAGTGCTCGCTTTAGACATGAAAGCAGGCGCACAGGTTGCCACAGTGGGTGGCAAGCAAAAATGGCGTCGAACGTGTTCAAGTTGTGTAGAGTGCAGGCTGATGGGTGTGCAGCCTGCATGTTGCAGGATGCAGAGTGCAATGCACTGCGCTGACATTTCTCTGTGTGTGCCAAATGGAATTTTGAAATTAAGCTTGCGAATGCGAATGAGTGGGCTGTGAATGGTCGGAATTAATTAAAAGTTACATAACTATATTGAAATTGGAAATAATTGAACCAGTCTATAGTTGGAAGCTGGCTGCTTAAGTAGATATCAGCAAAAATGCTTTTTTAACAAATATACTTAATTAATAGTATGAAATTAATTTAGCATTCAGATGAACTAGTTCCCATTGCTGCTATGCCTTGAAAATCCTTCGTGCGCTTGAATCGCACACAAGTAGTCCTCACTTGTATCCAGTTTCCCCCCTAGGTGGCCATTTGCATGTGCAGTGCGCATAGAGCGTGGTAAAAGCCGTTTCACTTAATGAAACATTGGCCTCCACGAACAGCTCGCCCCTAACCCCCTAACGGCCAGCTCCACTGCATTGCTGACAGCAGGGCTTTCGTTTCGCCCAGCACTTGTAAATGAGCGAAATGTATCTCTCAGCCCTTGAGAGGCAGGAGGACATATTGCTGCTTGTTAGCACAAGTTCCACTTTCACTGACAACAACAACAACAACTGCAACAACATTTACTATATGGCAACAGCTTCGAGGACGGCTTCAACTTTAGCTTGACAAGTTGCATTTTTTTGTTACACAATTACATGATTTATTTTTGTAAACGAAACAAGTAGATGCTTGAGAAGGTGCAGGTAAATATTTAAGGCAGCACACAAATAAAACAAATACCAGCGTCATATGAACTTGCTCAATTTAGCAGATAAACGAAGCAGGTAACTTAAAGAGAACAAGAAGCGAGTGACTGAAAATGAAGCTGCCGAAATTATGATAAAGACAACGATGCGTATGATTAATGTGTATAAAAAATAATAATTTCTAAAAAAAATAATTTCTAGAAAACAAGCTTCATTCATTATTCACCTGCAATTACCTTTCCCTAACAATACATGCAGGTGCTTTACATACTTGGAATAGGCGGCAAGCGACAACATCAAAGTGTAAGCCGTAAACTAATCCAAGAGAACACCCACGCTCGTACCTGCCACCACAAGTGGCACAAGTTGCATGTGATATTCTTGAAGTAGTAAACAGCAGACCAAACAGAACAAACGATGGCATTAACACCATGTGAAGTGTGTGTAAGAATCAGTCTATGCTCTCGTAGGCTGTCTGAAAATCGATATGGCTTCACAGATGCAGGCCTTAAATTGAAATGTCCGTTAATCATGAATTTATTGCGGCATTTCTATATTCACATGAAGCGCCTCCACGTAGTCAGTCGTATCTCAACTTGACCCAAACGTTGTAATGAGGGAACAGCAAGGAAAAGTAACGCCCATTCACCACCCCCAGGCAGGAGCAATGCGAAGCGAATTCACCACCAACTGTCGCCGGCTCTGGCGCTATTAAAGCCAATGCCTGACTGCGGCTGGCGCTCAGTGCACAACTTGGTGGCAAGGCGAGCGCACCTATCAAGCCGCAAGGATAACGCGCACTACCGGAAAATAATAAAAATAAATACAAAAATTTCTAGTTGAATATTTGGTTTCGCTTTTTTACTAAAGTGAGAACAACAAATACCTTGTATATATACATATAAAACACATTATATGTAGGGGAGCATCGAGCCATAAAGTACAAAAAGGAATACAGGAATATTTCAGAAGGAAGGGTTCAAAGGCTCTTGCTTATTTTTCCAAAGCTGGGTAAGTGAAAGTGCCTCTGGCCGAGCGCAGCTCATAGGATTGTGCAATATTATTCTGTAAATCTGCTTTGTTGTGCTTGCCAGCTGGCAGAGTTCAATGGACTTTGCTTTCTATGAGAAAAGCATGAGAAAACTTAAAAATTATTTGAGTTTATATTAAAATATATATTAATTAATATTTTATGATTTAAGAATGTCAGATAGGGATCAAGTAAATATATTTTTAGAGTTCATAGTTATGACGTTTATTTAATAGTCATAGTACTTTAAAATATCACGTATACGCCGGGTTAATCACAATTTTATCTTTTTTTTCATCCCACACAGTGAGTAAGCTTAATACGTGTTATTATTTATGGTTCGTTTCCTCTGCTTGCCACATGTTTTTCAAGTTTTGCACATTTTTGTGTAGGTCTCCCTAACGTAACTCAAATTGCGATTTTGCCATTTATCAAACTAAATTCCTTTGCAGGCGTTCACAATGCGCTTTTTAATTATGAAATATTTGTCTGAAAATTATTCATTTCGAACTTTACAAATATTCATATTAAAATGTGACGTTGAGTGCCATAAATATATAAATATACATATATATATTCCTAATATAACAGACTGCGAATCTGACTAATGGATATGCATATTTAATAGCGGTCATTATTATAAGAGCTATTCTAATTTGCATTAAATTTATATATTGAAATTTAAATAATTTTCTATTTCTGTTTGCAGTTGTCTAGTTTCTTCCGCTGCTAACAGAATGTTCCATAACAGGCGTTGCCAGAGACAAGCTGCACCAGTTCAAAGCGCGTTTTTTAACTAAAGACAAAATAAGATATCCGATAGCCGAAGGGTACGCAGGAGTTAAGCATGCATCAGGTGCTCAGCTATGAGACGGCTGTGAGGGCCAACAGCAGCTCGCGTGAGTATCGTGAATATGTGACTAAGCGCACCTGCGCCACACTCCTGCTCACCATTGGCTTCTTCATGCTCATCTCAGGTGGGTGGCAATCAAGGATGTGCCGTGGCCCATGCTAATGAGTCGTTTGTTCTCTTCGCAGGCTATTTGCTGGGCAACTTCGTGACGGAACGCAAATATCACATACGCCAGCTGCTGACAAAAAAGTCAATCAAGCCTGGCGAGGCCAGCGGGGTGGACGGCGAGCGTTACGTGCAGCTGAATAGTGCGGATTATGGGAATCTGCAGGAACTGCGCGCGTATCAGAAACACAAGGACCAACTGCTGGCCGCCGCGCAGGTGCTGAACAAGTTGCTGCAGCAGGATGAAAGCGAACGTTATTTGGCCACATCCCTCAACACGGAGATCTTTAACAAATACGTCAGCTGCACCCAGGACATACCGCCCAATACGAACATCAAGGCCAGCCAGTTCATTGAGCAGCTGATAGACAATACCATAGCCAGGCAGAGGGATTGCATGCGCATCATACAGGTGGTCATCGATAATCATCTGGCCAATAGCCAGCTCTAAGCCAAGCCATGACAATTGCCAAGAAGAAAACTTAGGGAACAGCTGCAGTCATTGCAAAGTTAATCAAGATTTAAGCAGAAGGATATTATTTTTGAATAATGTAGCATGAATTTTATAATTGCGTATATACATGTGTGTGCGTTTGTGTGTGTGTAAAGAGTTTTCATATTGTATTTTCACAGCAAATAAAGCTAAGCCAAATATATGGATGTGTTGAAAATAAACTGTCGACCAAAGCAGCGTCAAGTAACCTTGTCCATCAGGCCCGACTCGTATGACAAATGATGAGCCAGCATAACAATAGATCGGCTTAACGTATATGTGTATGTGAGAGATATATATAGATATATGCATATAATGTATTTGGAGGAAAGGCTGGCTTTTGTTTATTGGACGTGATGTTTTCACACGCAGTCAGCACAGGTGGGCGTTCTGTGGCGCCTCGGGCAGAGCAGCCATTAAGTTGTGCTGGGTGTGGGTGTTGAGGGGGTCTTCGACGAAGAGCTAATCACCTTAGGAACAGCAAAGCGCCCAAATAAACCAAATTAATTTCTTTTTGTTTGAGTTTTGTGTTTTAAATATGTGAAGCAAAGTGCGCAAAGTTGATGCAACCATAAAATAAAACAAAACAAAGCAGACAAAGAAATTATTGGACAAGATTTATGATATTATTAGTTGTATCGACACTTTGTTACATAAAAACCAAACAGGTCAATTTCGGGGCAGGGCAGGGCTGGGCAGCGCTGGGCAGCACTGGGCTGGGCCGTGCTAATCCCAAACACATTCGTTATTAATGGCTTCCACTTGGCATTTTGCTGTTTTACGAGCGTTGCCAGCCAATTCACATCATAATCGATTGTCTTTTCCTTTTGGTGTGAGGTATTTATGTGCATAACGAAATTCTAATTAAGCGGGCTGCGTAGAAAGTTGCCTTGCATAACTAGCAGAAAGCTATTCCTTTTCAATTTTCACTTATTATTGAAAACTGACAATGGAATTAATTACAATTTCAGATTTTTTATAGTAATAATTCGTTTTCTCCATGGGAATGAATTGATATTATTATCGGATCTTGTTCTGCTCTTAATAGTTTTATAAAATTATTAATCAATTTTTCATAAACTTTTCAAGTATGATACAACCAACTAAGTTGTCTTGCTCATCTTTTATATATATTTAAAATGGTTCAAAAATGTTACTCTAGAAAGGTTTAACGACTCTAGCGTGGTTGAAATATATTAGATTGGATTTTTTGTCAGAGGTGTGAAATAGATAACATTTCAAAAATGATGGTAACAAAATTGTATGTACAAAAATTTTAATTAATTTATATTTATTTAAGATTTTTATATTATATTTTTAATTCCATTGTAGCTGGAGTTCGTATGCTCAAGTTTTATAGCTCAAACTCGATTCAACACCATTTTTAGTTTCTTACACTTAAACTTTACAGCAACCAAGATATATCTCGATATACGAAAATGACAATTGCAGCTGTTACAATTAAAGAGCTCTTAGAGTGTTTTGGGGAAAAGTGTGTTTTAGCTTTTCAAATATAAATTGAATTAGCATGTCAATCATAGCTATACAGTGCGAGTTTCTCTGGCATAATTTTGAGTGTTTCAGCAATTTCTATAAAAAGATTTTAGACCTATGAAAAATTACAGCTGGCCGAAGATAAATGTGCTGGCTTGACATTAAGCCACAGACAATGGCTGGTCAGCGGGCGAGTGGTTGGGTACAGGAGCTCATCTGATGGAGCAAAGCGATGCTAGCATGTCAGTAGCCTAACAGGTAGACAATGTGGGGGTATCAAAAGTCAAACCAAAGCCGCATTTGCGGGTGTGGCGCACAATTAACCGACTGCCAAATGATTGATTTGGCTTTATTAAAAACTCATTTCGTATAATCTGGAATGGACGCAACCAAGCTAAATAATGAAAATTGAAATCGAAACCGGCGATGGCTACCAAGCCACAGCTCAATATCCGTATCAAATGTGTCTATGCGAAGCAGACGTTGACGATGCTGACCTCCAAATTTGAATCCCAGCCCAAGCTAAGACCCCAATCTCCAAAAAGCGCAAATGCAAATGAGACTGAAATGCGTTGGCAAATGGTATGCGTGTGAGTGTGTGCGTGTGCATGTGAGTGTATGTGAATCTGTGTGCCATCTATATTTCACACCTTAAACGATTGGATCAATGGATCCATTGCCTATATCTACTATTTGCATTTTAAATTATTGCCTGCCGCTCTTATTGACATGTTTATTTTATACGTGCCGCACACAAAGGCCTTTGTCTTACCTACGATTTGTTCGCCTGATCGCATCTGAGCCAGCATATCATATTTTGAACAGATTTCCCAATTGTCTTCAGCTATTTATATATATTTTGAAGCCCAAGTTGATCGCTTGTTTAATTTGCCACTAATAAATATAAATAGCCGATTTGATGCGTTTGTGACTGAGGCCCTGGCTGCGGCATTTTGACAGGCGCATGTCATAATAGAGACACGAATCCCTCAAAAATCGCGCCGAAACGGAATTCATTATGCAGACACGTGTCCCAGCTGAACAGCAGTTATTAGTTGAAGTTATTAGGAGGTGTGCCAAGTAGCACAAAATATGTTGTAAAATTAGCGGAGATCAATTAAAATTTACATGTCGATGAATATCTGATTGAGGGTTGTGAAAGCAAGCGAATTCCGCTTAGACAAAATGTGAATACCCGAGGCACTACGTCTTCCTTTGGACTAGCTAATTGAATAATAATAATAATAATAATAATAATAAAATAATATTTTATTTATTTAATACATAAAGTCCATCATACTTCGTTAGTTCAAGTTAAAAGTATGCGCAGCTCCTTCAATACGTATCACAGTTTTAACCACAAAAGTTCATTAAGTAATTACCCACTGCCAATGGCTCCAAATGAGAGCTGGCATTTTCAATTTTGAGCACTGGCTAACAAGCAGCCAAAAAATGCGGCTCACGTTCAGCCCGAAGTTCGGCTGGAAGTCGTGTGCAGCTGCCGCAGAGATCAGGTGATGGCGGTTCTGGACGGGCTTTGCTACTGGCCTGGCTTGGGCCATAGTCAAAATTTGTTCAATGTACAAAATGGCAAAAAGCCTGCTACTAGGCTGCCAGGCTGTTTGGCCAAAAGTCAAATTGAAAATTTGTTTCCAGCTGAATGGAGAAACGCATATACGATACATATGCGATAAGGCGGCAAACGGAAAAGGGTGCAAACGGGTTCAAAAGCGCACGAGATGAGGCCCCCACTCAAATATCAAAAGTCACGAAGAAGAAAGCAGGTTTCGGGTCTTATTGCTGTGTTATGCACCAATGTATGGCATGGCATGGCCAGGCATAGCATGGCATGGTCTACGGTCTATGGTCTATGGTCTATGGTCTATGGTATTGTATGTCTCGACATCGATGTTTAGCTTATGGGCGCAGGCTGCGCCTTACTAAACGTGTCGCAAATACGAATAATAATATTCGCTAAATGATGTGCCTCTGCCTCTGCCTCTGCCTGTCTGTCTGAGCCTTCGGTTTCACCGGTTCCAAGTGCTGTTTGTTAGCTAAGTGGCAAGTTGTGATGCCATTGCCGCACTTTTCACTGCCTCTGCTTGCTTGGCGTCAACTGCGGAAGAGCCAAACACAACGCAACTCAGCACTTATCCAAAGTCAATTCAACTTATGTTGCCGCCTTTGTAACACGTTATTACTAGAGGTTGCAATATAGTTAATTATTAATTATAAAATAATCTTTGTATCTCATAAATCGCAACTCAAGTACTTACATGATTTTTACTTTTATTTTCCATCTCAACATTTTCATGGCAAGCCGGAGATTAAGTACAATTAATTATAAACACATCAATTTCGTATCAATACTTGCGATTGAGCTTCTCTATACGAGTCTATCAGCAATAAAAACCTTTTAATCTGTAATAAAAATAATTGAAGTACAAATAAAAATCGTGAAGAGCATGTCATAGCTAATGGTCCTCAAGATGCTGCATTGCTTGAAAGTGCGTTGAGGTCAGCCATTCATGGCCAGCTTTCAGCTGCCACCGTTTGCAGCTCATCAGCGTTGCAGCCAGGCGCAGCTGGTAGCCAAGAGTTGAAGCGGTCAACAGTTCAGCGAAGCAAACAAAGTGTGACTGCAAGAAATATGAAATAAGCAATTGCACTTTTTGTGCAAATATTGGTCAAAAGTGCAAGCCAAGAGGAAGTGACTAAGAGCAACGGAAAGCGGTGCGTGGCCAAGAGCTGAACTAATTTGCATGCATAAATGGCGCTAATTTAAGAGAAATTTTTACTGCGAAAAGCCCCAAAAATTGTGCGGTTAGACAGGCGGAAGCCACAGTTGGAATTGAGGCCTGAACCGTGGCGCGTGTTCCCGCTGGCCTTTTGGCCATGTTTGTGGCTACGGCTACGGCTACGACTACGGCTGTGCCTCATTACGATTTGGCCAGCGCTGCAGGCCAGGATTTTGGCATGGGCAAAAACAAAAAAATGAGCATAAAAACCAGTTGTGAAGATGGGGCCGCATTCGGTTAAGTAACACCAAAAGCATCATAAAACAGAGTCAGAGACGAGGCGAATTGGAAAGTGGTCAGAGACGCATCGTCTGCCAAGTTGTCGAAAATGAGACACGCATAAGGCCCCAGCGAACGGCTTAATTAAATAACAGTTCGGCTTTTGTTATAGAATGGCTCGATTATGATTGCCTCATGTGGGGCAAAGCGCTGAGATTTAATTTGCAACTGCTGCACTCCAAAGCCAAGTTCAAAAAGCCCATAAGGGCCACTTGTGTGATAAACACCGAAACAAAACTCTGCAAGTCGAGGTAGCTTTCATTCATTGGGCCGCCACCAGTCAAAGTGAGTCTCAGACATGATCAACAGTTGGCAACATTGATGCTGACGTAGCAGTCGCTGTCGCTGCTGCAGTCGGCGTTGGCGTCACCGTCGCAGTCGCTGTCGACGCCAACGTTGGCAACATTGCGGCAGCATCTTCAGCTTTGGTCCGCTGGGGCAGGCGAGGGAAACCTCAAAAATTGTACGCTTCAGTCTGCAGCGAGCGTTCAGACGGTTCAGTTGTTGTTTTGCTAGCGGCCAGCCGCATACAGCTACTCCCCCCAAGAAACCAACACAAATAAAAAAAAAAAAAAACAAT